AAATTTTCACATTCAGAAAAAGCCAGTTCTAATGGGCAGTGAAAACAATGGAGCCTGGGGGTGGAGGTGAGGGAACATTCAAAGGAGAGTCTGGGGTCTAGAGGTGTGGATTATGTCATCTTTGTCCCATTATCTGCATATGACTGTGATAGTCACTCAATAGATATTTGCTGTGAAGCTTCTACTATGTGTACCACTGGCATTTGTAGACTTTGGCCTAGCCATGTATCCTTCTTGGGAGGAGGCAGGAGGCAGAGGGCTACATGTTACCATGCAGGGAAAATAAGAAAGAAGATCAGGGAATTACCATGGGATCATGGTATATAAGATTTAACTTAAAGAAACCCACCCCCCCACCACCACCACCATCATTTTAACCTAAGTCTGCCCATGTTCTTATACAAAAGCTCCTCTAGAGATCCTGGGCCTGGGGGTCTGGGAAGAGTGACACTGCCTCTGGAGGAAAAATTCTTAGGTACTTGTCTGGGATCACAGCCCTCTCTATTCCTGCAGCCAGATTGTTTTCAGCCTATCCTTAGGGAAGGAGTTATACAGGCTTATCCCCCACCTCCTGAGAATCTGGATAACGTGCCCTGACGTCCCAATTTGGCCAGGACACTGAACCTTAAGATATTCCCAGTTCAGAGAATCCTCTTGGTCTCATATGTAATTGCTATCCTCCCAACCCCCACTCTCCCACCAAAGTCTTAAGAATTAATGGCTACAACTTCTCTCCCTGGGCCTGCAGCTTCAGAGGTCAAAGGGTCCAAATGAAAGAAATTTTGATATCCCAGAAAATAACCACTTCACCTGCTTGCCTGAGGTTCCGAGTCACTGTGGTCTCTTACCCATCTGCCCTTCTGTGCATCCTCAGCCAAGAATGTAGAATTCTCAAATAAAATCCTCATCAGTACCCCTATTTCTCCTAGCCAAAATCACTAAAAGCACATGATGTTGGTGCAGTATGATGAAATAGGAATATTTCACACTGCTGCAGCTGCCAGAGAATAGAGATATTAAACAGGAAGTGTTACGATGTTGACCAACACGGGATGCACTTTCAGCTAAGACTCCACACTGGAAGGGACATTGCACAAAAGATCTTTCACATCAGCATAGAGTCCAGAATGAGTATAATCTCAGACAAAAGGCAGAGAGTCACTGTTACGAGGTCAGAGAAAGCTGCAGGCTGCACAGGCAGACCCAAGCTCCGTGGGAAAACCGCAGATATTGGAGTTAGCCATGAAGACCTGAAGCCAGGAGTAATGCTGACCACTTGGGGCAGGTAGCTGGACCAAGCACCATGGGATACCACACAGAAGAGGCTGCAGATCTGAAAAAGCAGGTGATGCCCTCTCCAGGGCCACATGGGGTCTCACCTGGTCCTCATTAATAAGGTTCTGAAGAGATAGCCCAGAAGCTCTGTATGATTTTCAGAGGTGTTGCCACACTAAAGCCAAGTGGACAAGGAGGAAATCTATAGTATTGCTCAATTCGAGTATGAGCTCAATCATTCCCAAGACTAATCTTTTTCATGAACTTCTGAGCTAAAAATTCCTCCAGGCAATGATTTTGTAGATAATTGTGACACAATTCTAATCCTAAAGGGTCATGAGTCTTTAAGATGTTCATATCCTCTCAGGGATTCCTTTTCAATAGATCTATCCCGACAAAATAATTAGAGATGTGAACAAAGATGTATGCAGTAAGATATTTATTATAACATTATTATAAAGAAATATATTATAAAGAACTGTATGTGTGACAGTCCTGTGTCACACATACACATGCCACCATTTTTTGCCTTTCCCCTCTAGTATACAACAAAAGAAATTATGTGCCGCCAATGTTCATAAGCAATGAATTCTGTCACCCTCCTACCACAGGAAGCCTCTCTTCTAAGGCACTTTCGCTCCCTGGTTGTACACAACTCCCGAACGCAGCTGATTCATAGCTATACATCGTTCACTGTAAGAACTTTCTTCCTTCCAGCCAAACATCCACCCTCTTGGACATTTGTATTTTGCTTTGGATTGAGATTGCATACATACCTACCACATGATGTGTTTAGAAGGCTTTACCGGTACACTTATTCCTCAAAACCACCTGAGAAACAATTATAAGCCCATAATCCCTTATCTACAATTCCAAAATAAAAAACCTCAGACAAAACAATAGTTTTTTCATAACTTTGGCCCAAAACCTGACCTGAACCATCGTAATTGTATTTATTGTATTTATTTCACTCAGTGTGAATATTCATACAGTTAGCTGCAGAAATATTGTTGTGTTTGATTATAGGCACTGCCCTGAATCTCACTGGGGTATTCCTTTATATATGATAAAGGCACTATTTTCCCTTTCTAAAATCTGAAAAATTCTGAATTCCAAAATACATCTGACACTAAAGGTTTCAAATCAGGGATTAGAGACTTGTATGATTGTCCCTGCAGCCTGAGAGAGGTGAAGAGACTTGTTAGGGCTCTTCATTACTCTAAAGTCTTGGTTATCAACACTATTCTATATTTCCCTAGAGGTTCTTGCAGAGAACCTCATGTTCTCTGGATAATCAGCCCCTACCTGTTTGTTCCCCTCATGCTCTCCACTCCTGTCACCCCTCAGATATGCTGATGATCTGCACCTTCTTCCCCATGGAGACCCCAGAACATGCCACACTGGAGGCAAACTCATGAGCAGGATAAGGCCCAAACAACCTAGCCCTTGGGCTCATCAACTCCATCCAGAACTCAGTTGTCATCTGTTTTCCTTTGGCAACTTTCAGTCTCAGACTCCATGAGCCAAAAGGAGAGACAGACTTACTTAATGTCAGGCTAGGGCAGTGTGGAATCTAGGGAGCACAGAGAATCATGGTAATCAGACAGTAAAAGAGAGAAGAACGAAGGTATGACCTTCTGGCTGAGGAGTTCATCAGTACTCAACTTCCCCTCTGAGCCTTTATGAAAAATCCAAAAGAGATTCTCATCCAATTTCACCAACAGTCCATCATCCCCACACCTACCTCAGGCACCCCTTTCTCATTCTGGAACCCCCTCAGGATATGGATGTGCATCATTCTTTGCCTCTGTTTATCAATAACTCTCATCATCTCTGTACCTCTGCATCTCTGTCTCCTTGCGCTGTCAGTTTTGCCCCATGTCTGTGTCTCTTGTCCTTGTACCTGTCTTTTTCCCTCTACCTCTGTCTATCTCACCCAGAATTCCTTTCTGGGGGGAGGAAAGGTGTCAACTATACTATACCAGGTGACCTCTCCTTGTCAATCATAATAAAAAATGTGCTAAAAGGCATTAGGAGGAAGAGACTTGGTTTCACTTGTTTTAAGAAACTTGCGGTTTCTGATTTGGTCTATTGCTGCTCTCCTCTCATCCTATCCATTTCCTTCTCACTACACCACTTTGCATTTCCATCTAGCATGCACCCCCTGCACCACACGGTCAGGCCAGCAGAAGAAATATGCCACTTTCTCCCTTCATCAAAAGGAACTACTTTAATGGTTTGATGGTTAAAGCTGGAATCAGGCAGACTTGAATTTGAATCCCAGATTCTCCAATAACTCACTGTTATAACAGGCACTAATTTATTTAACCTCTCTGAGCCTGTTAAGTCACTTGCAAAATGGGGAAATAATAGTAGTTGTCCCTCAGTATCCGTGAGGGATTTGTTCCAGGAACCCCAGCAGATACCAAAATACATGAATGGTTAAGTCCCTTATATAAAATGGCGGAGTACAATGATTACAGTTGGCCCTCCATTTACCTGTGGATGCAAAACCCACGGATACAGAGGGCCGACTGCACCTACTTCAGGAGGTTACTAAAAGGATCAACTAAGATAATGCATTCGAAGTGTTTGGCACAGCACGTAACATACGAGTTCAACAAATATATGATATTAATTCCTCTCCTAGAGCATAGGTCATGCCCACTGTCAAACCTCTGCTCAAAGACTTGGCACCCACACCCTTAGCTCTGTCTAGGGAGATCCGCCCTCCCCTGAGGCCAGTTATGTCCCCTTTAGGAAATTTTTCTTGGCAACACTCTCTCCCACCACTGTCGGACCCTTCCCTGTGCCCCATACTCATACCACCTCGGCCAGCTCAGAGGATGGCCGACTTTGTGGGACAGCTGTACATTCTGGGCTGGGATAGGGGCGGGTGTTCCCCATACACAAGAGGTCTTTCTAGGCACACAGGAGACTCTCCAGAGGGACTCGAGAGAAGCCTCTTTCGACAGATAAGGGGCAGAGTGGGAGAGCAGCTACCAGAAAGGTTCTCTAGAGTGGTTCTGATCCAGGGAAAAACCACTCTTCTTCTCCAGCAAAACATCAGGTTGAGATCTCTGGACAGAGACACAAGGGGAAATCACACACAGATCACAGTTGTAGAAGAAGAGTACCCACTAGACACAGATCAGCCTAGCATAAGGAGTGGAGGATGAAGAAAAACTTCTTCAAATTTCCCTGGGTGATTCTGGCTTCCTGAAAGTTCTCTCCAGTTACTAAGGTAACATTATCCCAATTAGATTCTTGTTCTCCATGTTGTCACTGCTCAGCATAGCACCCTCCTACACACATACCTGGTTTTCATTGCAATTGTAACCTACTCATTAATGATGGGTTTCAACCTAGGCTGCACATTAGAATTGCCTGAGGAGCTTTTAGAAATCCTGATGCCCAGGCATAATGCAGACCAATTAAATCAGAATCTCTGTGGGTAGGATCCAGGCATCAGTAATTTTTAAAGCTCCCAGGTAAATCCAAAGCACGTCCAAGGTTGAAAACCACCGCTTTGTTCTCTGTTTACGTCCTGATCTATACTTCTCCCGTGTCCTTCAGGACCCCAATCCAACCTCACGAAGGACTCATCTATAGCTGACAAACGGCATAGCAAATTGCTTCAATGAGGTTGCTGAAAGAAAGAGAGGCCTGATCCTGTTTCCTTAAATGAACTCAGACCAAGAACTACACACACACACCACACACTAAGGGATACCTGCATTTTCCTCCCCTAAAGCAGAATGGATAGGTGACTCAAGAGTATGGACTCAGGCTATGGGTATACTGAGGCTAGAACAGTGACTGCCCTCTCCCCGCGCAAGGCCCCATCACTCAGCAGGACCTCTATGACCTCATGCTATAGTAGGTCAGCGCCTAAGGCCTGGGGCCTCCCCTTCCTGGGCAGCTTGGGGTTCCTCTAGCAGCCACTGCCCTACCTAACCCCTCCCACACCCCACCATGTTGGCTGGTACCCCCCACCTACTAACACTGGATGAAGCTGATGCCACCTGGACCCTCATCAAGGATAAGGTAGGTAAAGAAGGAGGGCTTAACAGGAAGTAACAAAGTGTGACCTAGATGGGTCTGAGCAGCTTATGAGTAGGACAGGATAGGAAGCCTGAAGACAATAATAACTAGCATTTACTCAGTGCTTGCTTATATACCAGGCACTGCACTAAGTGCTTTGCACCAACTGTCCAATTTAATCACAATTGCAAAAATAGTAAGAAAGGTTCCTAACGGCAATGTATAGGGAGCTATGAGAGCACAGAAGAGAAGTGCTAAGTCAGGGGTAGGACTTAGGAGGTCAGGAAGGCTTCCTGGAGAGAGTGACTTTCTAGCGAGGCAAGTAGGAATTATTCACACATAGAGGGAAGAGGAATACCTGGAACATAAACAGTGCTTAATAAACACCTAAATGAGTTAATGAGCAGGTGGGTGGGTGAATGAACAGTGTACTAATTAAAGGTAGAGCATATGCAAAAGCCAGGAGAGCAAAAAGAAAAATACGTATTTGTGAACTTCAAATAGTCCTCTAGAGAAGAGTTCAAAGTAGTACTGAGTGGTGAAAATGAGGTCGAAGAGGTATAAGGGCTATTCATGAAAGGCCTTTTAAGCTTTCTAAAGAAACTGAACTTTACTTTCTACTTCCACAGAATGAGAAATTTGGGTTTTGAGGCAAATATGTAGATTTCAAGGACCAGGCAGATCTTAGCTTTCTGAGTTGTAGGTATCCAACAAATCCCACCAAATCTAGATGGCCACAAATTTCTGAAGTTAGAGAATTTAGGGATCAGGCTCTGGTTATGGATCTGAAGGAGAGTGAATATAAAGCGCTTGTAGAAGGCAGCCCTCCAAGTTTAAAAGAACCATCCTGAAGTAGTGCCTACTACACTCAAAGCAGCCTCAATGGCATGTAGCTCCCATTCAAAATGGAGTAGCTGCTCACCACAAGTCAGCTTACCAGGGAAGCAAAGACAGAAGAGCTAAGGTCGTCTCAACGATTAGAATAACTAGTTTCAGCATGTAAGTGGCTGGTCCTGTACTAGACCAATCAGAATTAGAGTGAAAATAAATGGAGTCTTCAACCATTAGTAAGGTACACTATCTCTGAGGATCAAAAAAAACCCTATCTTATTTAAATGGAAAATTGTCAAGAAATCAGGGTGGAGACACACAGGATAAATCACTGGCAGTATGTGGCAAATTCAAGGAGTAGGAACCTTTGAGTGACCTGTTTTCCTATCACCAAAACTGCTGACAGTTTATTGGGCACTTTGTAGAACATCTGGCTAAACAGAATGTAACTCAAGAACCCCCTGTTCAGAATTCAAACCAACCAAGATAACCAAAGAAACCAAAGATAATCTTCCACCATCACTTTCCTGGGCTGCCCCGGGATATCTAAATTTGCAGGCCTCTAAATTCCATAGAACTTCCACCCAGAAGTAAAAGTACAGTGAGAACAGGTAGTGGTCTCAAATGGTGATTCTACCAAGAATGCAGTCACCCTAGCATAGAAATGACCACCTTATTTTTCCTATTTTAGGATAATCACTGGGCCCTCAAGGTAAGAAAGAGTGCCTAATATACCTCCATGGTAAATTCATGTCTATATTCTGGGAAAGACTCTCCAGCTAAATCAGGGATTCACCTTTTAGCAGAAATTTGGACCATAAGAACCAGGTACTTTAAATGTCACACTCCTGTTAGAGGGACCTCTCCTGGAGACACTCCCATGTGTCTCATTTGTATAGGATCCTAGGCACCAAAGGAACAGCTAGGGTAGGATTCTGAAGTTATGCTTGGTGACTATGCTTTCATTGTCACGGGGCAGAGCATTCTATATAAAAATGCCAAGCCACCAGTGTCCTGCTCTCACACCTGGAAATCCAACTGGCCCTTCTCAGAGCCCTGTTCCTCGGCCTGATGCCCCAACCCAAAAGTAAGTGTTTCATGTCTCAGTGAAGCAAAGGAGAAGGAATGACGGGAAATTCTTCCACACAGATCAAGAAAGAGCACCAGTTATTTCCTTGGCTGGGTGACAAAAGAGAGTAGTCTTCAAGCTACCTCAGCTTATCTGAAGGGCAGACACTCCATCAGTCAGCCACCCTCCTCTTACAGTAGGAGGCAGCACTTTCAAAACAGCTTTATGCGGCAAAAAGCTGATCAGCCTTAAGGGACCATTGGTGAATTCTACCAGAAGGCCAGTAAAGTGGGCACAGACAAGTGCACAGACATGTGCGACTTGCGAGTCGGGGGAGAGTAGAGCACACAGCATTTTAAGAATAGGGCTCAAACATGAAAGGGGCCCAAAGAGGGAATCTTGTGCGCCACTTAGCAGAATACAGAGCCAGAAGCCTCAGCCAACAATACCCTGGATGATTTGAGATCATACCTAAGTAGAATTACTAGAGAGGATCTTACAAGGTTTCCCAGTTGATCATGAAATTAAACTTTACACAACTAGGTGTCCAAACCCAAAAAGGCCAGGACACAAGGAGGACAAAACCAAAAGGAACTGGAATCTCTAAGATGTTGGAACTAGCATTAAAAAGATGAGGCCTCAAGTCCCTAAAAGAACTATCCCCTGAAACTAGGACAGAAGGTGTATACTAAGAAGAAGGTGTTACAGACACAGTGTAAGAAGGGACATTCCAAACCTATTTTCTGTGTACTCATTCTTGGTTAACGACATCACCCATCTAACCAATCACCTAAGAATAACCCTTGAGGATTCCTTTTCCCACACCCCTTAAGTGACCAAGCTCTACTCATTCTATAACCTAAATATCTTCCCCCATTATTTTAGTTCAGAGCCTCACCATGTCTTGCCTGGAGTATTACAATAATCTTAACTGATTTTTCTCTCTCTCCTTACTTTACGCCTTCCTATTCAAAATTAGCTTTCTAAAATGTCTATCTGATCCTGCCCCTCCTAACCAGAGCCCTTCAAACGGCTTCCCACTGCCCTCAAGATAAAATTCCCATCACTCAACATATATACAAGGCCTTTCATAATCGAGTTCCTGTGTGCCTGTCCTTCTTCATACCCTACATTTAGGTAATATGAAATTACATGTTCACAAATGTGCCCCTCTTAGTTTGTAAGTTCAGGTTTTTTCACTGGCTGTTCCCTCTGCCTGGATTGACCATTCTCCTACCCGGTTAATTCCTTGAAAGCTCAAGTATTACCACCCAGAAACCTTCTTTGCTCCTCTTCTATCAAAGATAAAGGCTGTAAAATCACTTCTCATCTTCTCCACAGCTTGCTCTCTATTATTTTACTTAGCTGACTACTGTTTACATTTTTGTCTCCTCCATTAGACTGAACTATATAAGGACAAGGACAAAGTTCCATTCTTTTATGTATTCCCAGTATCTAGCAGACTCTGACACTTAGTAGACATTCAAGATTTTACTACAGGAGAGAACTGGAAGATAAGTAGTAAGTACAGTCAGGTGCCACATAATGACATTTCAGTCAACGACAGACTGCATATACAATGGTGGTCCCATAAGACTAGTACCATATAGCCTAGGTGTGTATTAGGCTAGGTTTGTATAAGTACACTCTATGATGTTCACACAACAACGAAATTGCCTAATGATGCATTTCTCAGAATGTACCTCTGTTGTTAAGCAACGCATAACTGTATAACAGTCAGAGCATGTTGTGGAGATGTAATCAAACAGTGACAGTGGGAGGGTCAATCTAGAGTAGGCTACCAGGTAACTCCTGACCGTAACTGTTTCTGACCTATAAACTGGCTACCTGCAGGTTATTGAGGACCACTTCGGGCCCAGTGTAGTGGCAGTACCTTTCCTGTCTGATGCAACCTGCTATGACCTATTGGGTGTGCTGGTGAAGCAGTCCCGCCCAGCCCACACCCGCCTGGCTTTGCCAGGTCGGCAAGGACGGCGGGCACTACAACCAGTGGGGCCGCTACCAAACCTCCTGGAGCAGGCAGGGTCTGAGGGTGCCTTTGCCCACTGCACTCGGGAATACTCACCAAACAGCCGAGCAGAGACAGCCTATGAAGAAACGCGATTGCTGGACGGGCGGCCCTGCCGGATCCGCCTACATATGGGTGGCCTGCGCAAGAGGGTGGCCTTCCTGCTGCTGCCACCAGGGCAGGTGAGCCTACAGCAGACTCTTCCCTGGCTCCGAAGCACCCACAGCATCTATGTCATCTACCAGGTCTTCTCCTGTTCCTGGCTGCAGCTAGGGCTGTTGCCTACAGCCCGTGAGCCCCAGCTGCTCCGGTTACAACGGTCACTGCCTGTTGCCTTCTCCTGCCTCAAGTTTTCACTGAAACCCAAAGGAGTGCTAGGACCGCAGAAGGCCCTGACGAAAGACCCACTGCCGCATGGGGCCAAATGGATCAGACCCAACCTCAGCATCATGCCATCTCTGGCCCCCACATCAGCCCCTGATGCTACCCTTGAAGCTGCTGATGTGCCCCTACCTGTCCCAGCCCCACCTACACCACCTCCCCAGGAAGGGCCAGAGGGCAGACCCACCAGATTCTCCTACAAGGGTCGAAACCCATTCCGAAGGGGACCCCAGATGCTGTCAGGTACTGCTAGGGGAAATGAAGATGAGAGGGATGGGACAAAGTGAAGGGAAAGGGCATGGGGAGCATAGTCCAGGAATATGTGGGGCACCATAACTCCACATTGGACCCTGGTGAGGGGGATGGACTGAGTTAGCCAGGGGAGGGTGAGATGGATGCATGGTCCGGGTGAGGGGGTGGGCACAGCACAGAGGACCAGAGGGAGGGACTAGGGAGGCACAAAGACCAGGGCATGAGTCAAGCTGTGACTATCCCCAACCTGGCAGAGAACCGGCTCTTCAGCCCCCGCAGCCCCCCACCAGGAGCCCAGGGTGGGGGCCCCGGGGACCCCGACCGGCACTCCATGTCCCTGCCCCTGCTGCAGGGTCTGTCCTCGGAGTTCGACAGCGACGACTGAAGCTGAAGCGAGAGATGCAGGGGGTGAGGCCCCTAAGATCTGTCATAGGGATACTGGTCCCCAATAAACATCAGCTGCTGCTCCCCCAAACCATCCTGGGCCCATGCTGCTTCTTCCTGCTGAGGTCTGGAGTAGGGGGAGTGTCCCTACATTTTTCCCTAGGCTTCATGTCCCCTTACTCTTTAAGCACATAAAAAACACCTTGAAACCTTGGCATCAATGTCTTCACTAGAGAGAAAATACCCCTGACCACCTCCCCATCTACGTACAACCTTCTTGGGGCCCAAGCCCCACAAACAAGAGTGGGAAAGAAGAATGAGCACAGAATAGAGATTTCCCTTTTATACATATTGCAACAAGTTCTCCACAAAACATTCATCAGAAATAAATTAAAAAGTCCTCTTGCCACTGCCTCCAAACATAAAAAGGAGCCTGCACCCTGGCCCCAGCCCAGGCCACTCAAGGCTCTGATTGTCCACGGAAGAAGATTAAGGATTGAGGGGCCCGAAGCCTGAGATGGGAGGGACAGATCCCTCCTCTGAAGTATCCAACAAGAAAGGCGAAGTAACAGCGTGGGCCTGGGAGATGGCAGCCAACTCCTTGAGAAACTCAGGAAAAATGACTGCACAGTAGACAGCATTCTTGACTCGTAGAGCCTCACCTTGGCGCTCAGGGGCCCCACCCCGAGGGGGCAAAACCGGAGTTGAAGCCCCAGGGGAGGCCCCACCTAGGCCAAGTCCTGCGCCGTCTCTTCCAGGCTGAAGAACCGACTGTGCCGCCTGCCGGGCCCTGGTTGGACTGTGCGCATGCCGCAGGAGCAATTCCCCCAAGGATGGCCTCCGGCTCTTCACTGGAAACAAACAGGGGTATCATGAAGGGGCTGGGCTCAGGCAAACTCCCTTCATCTGAGAGAGGAGATTTCCCTACCCTCCTAGGTTCATGGACTTCTCCGCTAGGACTCGAACACCAAAACGCTGCCTGCTCAGCCTTCTTCCCTCTATCCAGTCTCCCCAGCCAGCCAACTATCATCCTCAGTCTTTTCAGTAAGTCAATAAACACTTCAGCCACTTCATTCCCATTCAAGATACCTTCCTTCTCCATGTCCTTTCACCCTGAGGGATTCTCTTACTACTCCTTCCTTTCCAATCACTATTCTACCATCACCAAGCTCGTTCTCCTCAGTCCATAACAAGCCATATTTCTTGCTTCCCATCACCCTCTTGAATTAAAGTCAACCACTTACATCTTCCCCCTGCCTATCTATAACACCTGACCCACAATACCCACAGGGGCTATATATGCAATCACAGTTCAGTGACTTTATCATTTCTGTCATACTCCACTATCCCTCCAAGATCTGCTCTCCTGTGCTACCACTTTACTTTCGACTAGTCCCTGTCCTATATCCACCAAAACTACCCTCCCACTGGTTGTGGCCAGACAACTTCATGTCAGCTTAGACTCAAATGAACCAGTTAAAATATTGCCCTCTCTCCTCTAATTCTCTGCCTAAATACCTGGCTCTAGATCTAAGTCCAATATCTAGGGCCTAGACTCTAGGGATCTAGTCTCTAAATCATGATATAGTTCCCATTCTCTACCTCCAATATTGGCTTCAGACAGACACTAGACAGATCTATTAAATTTGGCATTCAGAACTCTTCACAACCAGCTTACAAACCTTCTCCAAACACTTCTCAAAACTCCCTACACCCCATCTCGCTTTTGCATCCACTCCTCTCTGCTCTTACTGGAACCCTCCAGGCTCTTTTCATGTTTCGGTAGCCCCCTCCACATTAATTTTGCACTCCCCGCTGTTTTCATGCTTGGTCTAATTTCACAATGCCCACCTCTCTGGGAAACCTCTGATTTGCCCTCCACCGACTTTCCATTTTACTGCCCTATCACACTGTATTTTAATAACTTGTTTACATGTCTTCTACTTCATACACTAATCAGTGAGCTTAAGGGCTTGGACTCTGATTATTTACCTTTGTATCCCTGGGCCCTCCATAGTGAACACAGCACCAGGACTGTGGAAGCAAGAAATATTCACAGTACTGGACCATAAGGAAACCATGCTAAAAACTTCAGCTGGGTCTTCACAGCTGTATAATAATCCTTCTGGCCCTCTCTTCCCAACCCATACACTTTCTCCTTAAGTCTCCATCTCACCTCTGCTCTCTTGCTCTCAGCATATTATTTTGCCTCCTACTTTGATTAGCAAATAAAGTATGACTTCAAATCCTTAACCTTCCCCTCCACACCTCACAACTCCATTGATACATATCATTTCCTCCCTTGATATCTCATTTGCCTCAAAGGGGGAAAACCCAACCTCTTCCTGTCCAAAGTTAATCTTTTCCCGGTGCTCTGGATCCCACTACTTCCACCACCTCTGGGACCTTGCGCCTCAGTTATGACACTCCTCTAGTCACTCTCTAGACTGCCAGCTCTTTGAAAGCAGAGATCTCATCTTGTACCTCCCTGAGTCCCCTGTACCCAAGACAATGCCTAGCATATACGGCAAGTGCTCAGATACTTGCTGATGAAAGATCTAGATTTAAAATTTCATGGGTATATTTAACTCTTCCTTTTTCCTTACACCCCACAACTACTCACCAAATTCTGCCAATACTTCCTTCCCATTTCCACCTTATCATATTCTCCTTATTTCCACTATTCTAATTCAAGCCTTACAGGTCACATCTGCATCATGGCAGAAGACTCCTGACTGCTCTTCCTTATTCCATCTTCTCCTAGCTCCAATTCACCTAGCACATGAACTAACACACTTACCTCTCCACTCCCGGATCTAAGAAGCACCAATGGTTTCTCACTGCCTAAAAAATCACAACTTCCTTCCTGCCAACTGTTCGACCACCTTCCAAATCCCTTGCTCCAACTAAATAGTTCATGCTGGCCCCTAAACAAAAGAACAGAGCCATCCCACTCCTTTGCCTACCCAATTCCTACCCATGTCTCAAGGCCCACATCAAATGCCATGTCCTTTACCAAGCTGTAACAATATCTCAACCTAGCGACTACGCTGTCCCCTTGCTTGTCGTCAACTCCTACAGCAGTTTTTCCTGGTACTGCTGATTTGGCTCTTAGTGGACAGAACTATGTTTTATCCTCTAACCAGAAGCCTGAGGACAAACATCAAGACTGAATTTTCTGTAACTCCTCAGTTCCTGGCAGAAGCCTTCACCCTCAATAAGAGCTCAATTAACTTGGGTTAATTAGCTGTCTAGGGAGGGTAGAGAGAGGGGTGGTGGGGTAGGCCTCACCTAGGGGATCAGAGCGGCGGGGGGCAGGTCCTGCTGCAGGGCCCTCAGCCCAGTCCAACTTGCCACGGGCAATGAGGTACTTCTTGGCTTTAGATAGCAGTGCTGGGAAGTCCTCCTGGGAGGCCGCAAAGCTCTCAATCTTATTCTTCACAGAGCCCAGCACCTATGAAGCACAACTTCATGACATCTCTGGGTGGCTCTAAACTGACACAATCCTTTCTAGTCCCACTGGGCCTGTTCCCAGCACCCCCCAGGGCGACTCCAGCTGTGGGCCTGGCCCAGCACGGAGCCTGGACGCACCCATGCATGCATGCATCGCACACCTGCAGCAGGGACTTGACACTGGGCTGGAAGACCATGTTGGTGTTGAGCAGGAAAGAGCGGAGCAGGGGCTGGGGGTGACAGGCCAGCTGGGCCACCAGCCCCGTCAGCAGGAAGTTGACATAGACGGAGTTCTGCAGCATGTTCTCGAGTTTGGCAAAGAGCACAGCCATGAAGGGGCCTGGGGGGTTGGGCACAAGGATACAAGGCCTGAACACAATGCATATCGCACGCATTCCTCCCCAAACAAGAGACCCCCTGACCCAGATGCAAATTATTTGTATGTCAGTCTCTGAGTATGTTTAAATATCTTGTGACCACCTATTCTAGAGGAGATAAAATGTGAGACACCACACAGACCCACAAGAGTCCAGATGCCAGTTTCACACATGCTTGAGCTGAAGAGCCAGACTGTAGGCTCTGGAGTTAGACAGACCTGGTTTCATATTTCAGTTTTACCCTTGACTAGTTAAGTTGTTGGGTGAATCAAAACTCTCCAAGCACAGTTTCTTACTTGGTAAAATAAATATACCCACCTCATAAGGTTATTAAGAGGATCAAAGAGATATTGATATAAAGCATTTAGCCCCAGATCTAGCAAATTGTAAGTATCCAATAACAACAGTAAGCTATACAATATTTCTCAGTTTTTTAAAAAGTTTCACACAAGAGGAACAACAGAAGAAAGAATAAGTAAGAAAGTGATTAGGACCAAAAGAAGAATCAGATTACACACAAGATAGAGGATAATACTAGACCCGGGTCAGAAAGAAAGCAAGAAGAAAGCGTAGCAAAAGCAAAGAAGGTGACTACGTGGGCCAGTTAGGGGAGAAATCTTTGGAGGACCAAAGAAGAAATCCACTCTGTTTAGATGGGAACCAGGAAGGCAGAATACAATCTGTAGGAAAAAAAAGAGATTTTAGTTCAGGGCCAGAGAAAACTGACTCAGGGCAGATTCTTTGGTGGGGGCAGAAGATAACAGAAAGGACTAGAATGACCTACTGGGAGAACTGGCCCCAACTGAGCCAGATCACCAGCATTGGGACTCTAGAACCATCACAGTCTGTCTGATCAGGGATTTGTGGAGAAAAGGGAGTGTACCCACGATCTGCACTATGAATTGAGACAGGATAACAATGAAGGGCAAGAAGCAGTGAATCCTGAAAAAGATCCTAGCACATTCTCAACTCTAGATGCACATGACTAGCCTTAGCTCCAAAATAACTCTATCTTAACAGGGTCCTAAGATATCCCATAACTTTGTCCTTCTGTTCCTTTCATTTTCTGGGAATTTCTTGCAAGAGAACATTCAAAAATCTCAGATGACTTAACAAAGAAGAAAAAGGACAGAGCTTCAATTAATGCTTCAAGAATGTGGTAAAACCAGGACACCACCTTCTAGTGGTACTGAGCAGGAAGCAGCAGAGCAAAGACTAAATAAATGGAAAGGTATATTCTCTGTAGTCTGCAAGAGGGAGTTGTCATGACTCCAGGGCAGATGCCCTGATGCTGTGCAAAACAGGATAGCAGCAAATTCCAGGCCCAGTTAGGACATGTACTGATCAAGGCATGATAACTTGACTACAAACAACCAGAAGATGGATGGTTGCCTTAGTCAA